GGCTCGCCAAGACCGCGGTGATGTTTCGCTGGTTTCGCAGCGACGGCGTCGAGGCGTTGCGGGGGAATTTTCGCTATTTTTTCTTCATCCCCACCCCGGGCCTCGTGCGGCTGATCGCGCCGAAGATCCGCGGGATGGTGACCCGCTTCCTCGCCTGCTCGGGGGTCACCTCGGAGAACCTGGAGTTCTACGAGGAGCACTTTTACCGCACCTGCGCGGCCCTCGAGGGGCACTTCGCGCGCCATCCCGCCCCGCACTTCCTCCTCGCCACCCCGCACCCGACGCTGGCGGATGTCGTCCTCGGGGCGGCCTTCACGAGCGGGTTTCTCCACGATGACCCCCCGGCCTCCTGCGTCTTCGAGAAGTACCCGCACTTGGCCGCCTACATCGAGCGCATCACGGGCTGGCGGGGGGGGGTCTTCGTCGGCAAAAAGGAGGGGCCCGAGGAGGCGGTTGGCCCCGCCGATGCCGCCGCCGGCGAGGACGGCGCCTACCCGGACGAGGTCCCGGAGTCCCTGAGCGCGTTCTTCGAGAATATCATCGAGGTGTTGCCTTTTATGGTCTCCCAGTGCACGGCCTTTAAGGCCTACATGACCAGCGACGCGGTGCGCACGCTGCGGCGGGAGCCCTTGGGCAAGCCCTGGAAGGGCTGCCATGGGTATCTCTTCCCGCAGATCACCAAAATCCGCTCAATGATGATCATCGACAACCTGATTTCTAATATTCACATTCGGGCTCAGGATATCGAGTTGGCCTTCTTGGCGGCGCGCGAGGTCTGCGATGAGACGCTCAGGGAGTTTAATCGCCTCGACCCCGCGGTCGAGGCGGAGGCCCCTCCGCCGAATAAGGCGGGATCCCACCACGCGCCCTGTTCTTTGCCCGATTCGATCGCTGCGGAGCCCCGCCAAGGCCCTCTCGCGGTGCGTCCCGAGAATTCTTTGAGGCCTTACGACAAAGCCGAAGGCGGGACCCCCGAGGGGTGCAGCCTGGAGGCGGCGAAGGCATTGCGGGAGAATCAAGAGGAAACCCAACAGAATTTTTTCACCACCTCGGAGCTGGAGAAGCTCGATTCGGAGTCGGCGGACTTTTATCGCGTTTTCACCAAGAAGGGCCTCCTCAATCGCAGTACGGTGCAATTGCGGAAGCCCTCGAGTACGGCCGGGGGTCGGGCCGCGAGCCGCGTTCCCCATGAAAAAGGTGTGATGATCCTTCGTTCTTCTATTGCGGATCATCTGCAGATGATTCGGTCCATCATGTCAATGATGGAGTGCCCGCACTATACCCTCTCAACTGTCTTTCATGGGCGACGAGTTTACGTGGCGGCGATTCCCGAATACGAGGTGGATAAAATACGCCGGCAGAAGACCTAGGGGGCGGTTTCTGACTCCTCTCTTCTCAAACGCAGCCAAAGTCGTAATTTCTTTATTCTTCACTTATTTTTTTACGCATACGCGTGCTTTTACTTTCTGCATCCATACTTTTTGAAAATCACAGTCGTTGTTTTGCTGAAACGCGGGAGTACAGAAAAAAAGACGTCCCAATTACAAAGGACTATCATGATGACTTTACGGTTTCGGCGTTCCCAATTTTTGACACGACGCAACTCGGCGATCAGGATTTTTTTTGTATATCGAATAGTGCGTTGGGACGGACACACCCAAACACGAGCTGAACTCAGCACCGACCCCTAAAAATGAGGGCGTCGACGCCCTTTTCGCTCTTTCCCATAGCCATTTATGCCTCACTTTCCCTACACGTGTGCCGGTGTGCGTGGTTCTTTCCAAGTCTTGAGAGTCTTCGAAGACTCTTTCACATTATCGTTCTTTCATAGTGAACCCCAATTTCCCGTCCTTCCCCATGTTGATTCCCCGCCTCCTTTCCCCCTCTTTTCCCATGCAATCCTAATGGGTGCAAACTGCTTCTTTTTTCCCGTTTTCCGTGTATTTCTCCAACCCTCTAAAGTGTAGTTCCAATCGAGTGCTCTTCCTCTTCGGGCGCGGGAGGGGGGGGTGGTGGTGGTTTCTCACAGTGTAGTGTTCTCGATTAGTCAGATCGATCCACCCCTATCTATCCATATTGATAGGTCGATAGACATTTAGTTTTTTGTTTTTTTATCGAATTCGATCCCGACAGGTGGGAGGATGTCCCTTTTTGGGCGATCGCCTCTGTGGTACGCGACGCGGCAGACGCTTCGCTAACCG